AAAATACGCACGTCATCACATGTCAATTACTTTGAAATTTAAAGTAATTGACATGTGATGAAATTTTTAACCCATTTTGGATTATTTTGAATCCGGTTCCTGAGGTTTTGCCTCAAAGTGAACCAGTTCAGCAAGAGGAAGAGGAGGGAGTCATGGAAGTCTGGGAGGCGCGCAGGGATGACCGGGACTTTTGCCAACAGTCCATCAAGGAAGTAACAGGTAGTAGCAGGTAGTTGATTGCAATTGAAAATTCTTGATACTTCTTGGTTGTCCGTGGTGTAAAGCCAGTCGTCCAACTCCTATTGAAAGACATCCTTTTCCTTTTGGTGATGTCAAACAAACATACTTGCTCTTCCTGGCTTCGACTGGAGGGAAACGGGCCTGATGTGCATTTCTAAGCAGTGCTCAACCTAAGGGAGCAAGACTGAACACTTTTCCTTGACATTTTGGGAGTATGGACTGGGGCCTCACTGCCTCACTCGGTTCTTTTGTACTCTGCCTCTCACTTGAATTCATTTGACCTGTGCCTTGAGGAATCTGAAGATGGACATGAAAGCTTTGACGGCAGTGACGCTGAATGGTAGGAACATGTACAAACATAATTTGAACTTTGCCTGTTCCAGCATGGCATGCTTGTGATATATCAATATCATCTCAAAGAGATGAAAACACAGTAGAAAATCAAATTGTCAAATTAAGATCGGTTGTCCAGTTGTGCAATTTAGAAGTTGTGGGGTTTCAGTGGATGGTTGCAAAGATCGTTTACCAAGTTGTGGAATCAGTTCCAAGTCTTTGAGAGTTAACTCACGCACTAAAAACTGCCCATTTTTGGTAGGATTGGAGCAAGCACGACGATAAACCAGTGTTATGAGAGCGTGACAATTGTTGTTGGTCATGCTCGATTTTTGCACCATCCGCTGCAAGGGGGTTGTGATTTTACCTACTCTGCTTGAAAAAAAATCGCGACACGATTACACGATGTGTCTGCTTCTGGCTGGCAGCCACTGATTGCCTGATTGCCTTGGTAACTTTGCACATGTACAGCGCCAGCATCAGCTAGCATGAGCACTGTTAGCATCCGTTAGCGCTCTCCAAGATGCAAAGTTGTGCTCTGGGAGGCTAAGGGAATCCACTTTGCACAGCCCCGCAGCTTTGAGGCTGATATCAGCTGCGGAGTTCTATCTCGACTTATTTTCTCGCGCCTTCTCTCCCATCGGTCCAACTTCAAACGATGCCACCGAAAGGGATGAGCTGGGTGGATCTGGTGAGAAAAACGGATCCAGCAAGGGCAACGGTGGAGCCAAAGGTGATGCAAAAGGCAGATCCACAGAAAGTCCGCCTTCAACTCCCGAAATGGGACCAGACAAAACAACGGCCCCGAGTGCAAGCAACGATCTCCAGTTTTCACGTGGGAGTGTTGGCTCAAGCGGTGCTGGTAGTTCTGAAACAGCACTGCACAGGCCAGAGACCGAGCCTGCAGATGAATCCAAGGGCAAGGATTCAGCACTCAGAGGACCTGCACGCTGGAAAGAACCTGGTCACAGAAAGGGAAACAAAGGCACATCAAAAGGATCAAAAGGGAAGCAGCCCACAAATCCTCGCGAAGTCCGGGTGCCCAAGACCTCAGGAAAAGGAAGCCCCCCTTCTAGTCCAGAGCCACAAGAAAGGGAGGAAGCCTGCGCACAAGAACCCGAGCCTGCGAATGCCCACCAAAGTGCTGGAGCGGAGGAGTCGCAGCCTTCCAGCAAGGCTTCAACTCCGAGGGAGGAGTCGGCGCATCCCAGTGGTTCCTGCAGTGCGAGGAGCTCAGAACTGGAGAAGCAAGAGCTGGAGCCCGCAGAGCCAGTCGAGCCAGCAGAGCGCGCATAGCCAGAAGCGCCAGCAGATGAATCCAGGGAAAGACAGTACTTACTGTCAGTACTGACTGTCAGTACTGTCTTTGCCTTGGATTCATCTGCCGGCGTTGCTAGCTCTGCACGCTCCCAAAAAGGGAAACAAAGGCACACCAATTTTTGAAGTGCCCTTGTTTCCCTTTTTGGGAGCGTAAAAGGAACCGGCCAAGAAGCCCGGGTGAAGGGGGCAGGAAAAGGAGGGCTTCCTTCAACTTTGGAGCCAGCGCCAAAGATCACGGAGGCAGCCAGTGCTTTGGCGGGGAAGCAGGAAACATTGGAGTCCCAGCCTTCCAGCAAGGCTGCGACTCAAAGGGACGATTCACCGCATGTCAGCGCTGAGTCAGCAGTGCGAGTAGTTCTGGACCGCCAGAGCCAGCGAAGGAGGAAGGACCTCGAGCAGCAAATCAGGCTTCAAACCAAGCGGTGAACGGAAGCCAGCCTGCAATTCCATTTGAGGATGGAACTAACTCCGCGGTTCCACTGACAAAGGCTGGACGTTTTGAAGATGGAGAGGGATCCGAGGATTTGTCCAACAAGCTAGAGTTGGACACATTTGACAGAACATTCTACCTGTCAGGTAGAATGTTCTGTAATCAAATGTGTCCGAATGATCTTCGAAATCGAGATTCGGACACAGAGCCAACAATTTACGGTTCTGATTCGGAATCCTCTGATGAGGGTTTCTAATGGTTTCTAGTCTGGTCCGGAGAAGTTGGTACTGTGCAGTACCACAGACATGCTCAGAGTTTCACCTAGCGCGTGCAAAAAAGAACGCAGCTGAGAAGTGAAAAGAATGAGTTTACATGAGTTTACAACAGTTTAGAGTCAGCAAAGATACAGATCACAGACTGAGCAAAGACTAGCAAAGAAGCATTTCTCAGCTTTTCAGACACAATTCAATCGAGGTCTAGGTCTTGGACAGGAGTCCTGAATATGGCTCAAAAAGAAACGATAAGATGAAAGAAACATCGGCATCAGCATCAGCATCATCATCATCATCATCATCATCATCATCATCATGATCATGATGTTCATGATCATGATCATGATCATGATCATGATCATGATGTTCATCTTCATGTTCGTCTTCATTTTCATCTTTAGATAGCAAGTGCAAGCTGCCACATCCATGAACGCTTTGATAGCACTGTTGCAGCCTTAGCAATTCCAACAATGGTTCGAGGAATGCCATTGTTTTGATATGTTTTGATTGTTTTAAGGGAAATGCCAAGAAGGGGAGGGGATAAACACTGCCTTGGAAGTTCTCTAGCAAGAGTTGAGTGCTCAGTCTTGTTTGAATTAATACGTGAAAATTTGTTGATCCCTGTGCAGTTATTCTGCCTCCAGGATTTGCTTGGGACTGAACCCAAACCCTAAACATGAGACCTGGAGGAAACGATTTTGACACCGTGTTTTGAAAACGGTCCCTACTTGTGAGCCCCGAGATTTTGTTTTCTGAAAAACATTTATAAGCTAAATCAGTGAAGACGAACAAACATGAGACCTGGAGGAAACGATTTTGACACCGTGTTTTGAAAACGGTCCCTACTTTTGAGCCCCGAGATTTTGTTTTCTGAAAAACATTTGCTAAATCAGTGAAGACGAACAACCATGAGACCTGGAGGAAACGATTTTGACACCGTGTTTTGAAAACTGTCTTTACTTTGAGCCCCGAAAATGGTTTTCTGAAAAGCATGTGCTAAATCAGTGAAGACGAACAACCATGAGACCTGGAGGAAACGATTGTGATACAGTGTTTTGAAAACGGTCCCTACTTTTGAGCCCCGCGATTTTGTTTTCTGAAAAACATTTGCTAAATCAGTGAAGACGAACAAACATGAGACCTGGAGGAAACGATTTTGACACCGTGTTTTGAAAACGGTCCCTACTTTTGAGCCCCGAGATTTTGTTTTCTGAAAAACGTTTAAGCTAAATCAGTGAAGACGAACAACCATGAGACCTGGAGGAAACGATTGTGACACAGTGTTTTGAAAACGGTCCCTACTTTTCAGCCCCGAGATTTTGTTTTCTGAAAAACATTTAAGCTAAATCAGTGAAGACGAACAACCATGAGACCTGGAGGAAACGATTGTGACACAGTGTTTTGAAAACGGTCCCTACTTTTGAGCCCCGAGATTTTGTTTTCTGAGAAGCATGTGCTAAATCAGTGAAGACAAACAACCATGAGACCTGGAGGAAACGATTGTGACACTGTGTTTAATTATTAAAAACAGTCCTTACTTTGCAGTAATTACTTTGCAGAGCGAGATTTGCGGTTTATGAGGAGATGGATCACCTCGAGCAGTTCTTGTGGTGCAGGAGATTCAGTTGCTATTGTGGGTTTTCCATTGTTTTGTAAGAACCTTATCGCTGATTAATATTCTGTATAGTTATTCTATCGTATTCTCGTTTTTGATTAAGGACTGTGTGCTCAGTCGAAGATTGTGCAAGTGAGAAAGAACCTGGCGCACTTTCCCCCAGATTATGCAGATGATTCCAGTGGCAATATTCCTGAACTCATCACCGTCGCAAATTGACCGAAGAGCCAGGACCATTGACACATAGACGTTGATGAGCAGTGCGGTTGGGTAAAAAAGGATAGCCTCAAGTGCAACATGTGGTAGAAGTGCAAAGAACATGACCGGAGAAACTGACACAATCACCAGTCAAAACCAACATCTGAAATTTCATCTTATTTTGTCAACTTGTGTTTCATTACTGGGGAGGAAGTAGAGCTGTGCACAGGTGCGTGAATTTTAAACTCCACAGACACATGGGATCTCCATTGCTCACATTCTGGAAACATACGTTTGTTCGATTTGTACGGGCAATAGGTTCGACGTATTGGGAGATCTTTCCCCGAACCTGCCAACGCGTAAGATATCGCAAGATTGAACAATGAAGTGAAACGAAAAATCGCAAAGCAGCTTGGCGCTTGAAACCGGATTTCACAGCTACAGCTACAACATCCAACTTTTCAAAACACAATGCTTTTTTCATCCTGCAAATCACAGCATACGCTGACTAGTGACTCGTGGTGTGAGGTGGTTGCAAGACATAGCCAAAACCGGCCGGCTTTTCCTTTCCACTGATTGGGCTGCTTCGCATCTTTTGCTAAAAGAGCCCGATATCAACGTGTGAAGGGTTACAGCCATTCGTCACGATGTCGATGGCGCACGAGTGGCGCCCATGCACATGGCAGGTAAATGCCGAGTTGGAAGCATGGATGCTTCTTGGCCGAGTATTTGATATGGTCTGTTCAATGGATGTCAACATCAATCTATTTCTCTTCGTTTTGCCTGCTGTTCTTCAGGCATTTGCAGCCGGCTGTCCAACTTTTGTTTGTCTCACAGCTGGCACGGCAGCTTGCTAAGCAGCTGGATTGCGAAAGGGGCTGCTGCCAGCCTCCAGTTTTTGAGGCCAGTGTGCCTCTGTCAGACTTCCAGCTTGAGAAGCTTCCTGTCCCAGAGAAGTTGAAGTCTTTGTGTTTCTCATTTTCCCTGTTGAGAATGCAAGGTGTTCAATGCCTGGAGCAATATTTGAAAAAGCATGGAACTCAGGAAATTTTGGAATTTTCAGATGGTATCTTAACGTATCTTACATCCTTTGATATCCGTGTCAAATCAGTGATATAATGACTTCATTTGTGGCCCTTTGCGGCCAAATGTGCGCGAGATTGAGAACAGTACAGTAAAAGGACGTAAAAGGGATATGACTTTCCGAAATTGCTCGACATTTTGACACCAGCCCCCCACCTCTGTCGACGCAATCACCTGAGCCTGCTGCGGGATCCTTCCCAATCAGGACCTTTTGCAAGTGGCTTCCACAGAGGAGGAGTCCGAGAAGGACACGAGGCTTTGGGCCGGTCAAGATCCAAACTGACCCTTCGTGACCATTTCATTGTGAGAATAAAAATCCAACTACCGACTTTCAGTCAAGGGCATACTGCGAAGACATGCTAAGACGATCTATGACATAATTGTGAATCAAGCAGCTGGCTCATGCAGCGCAACTACAGCGTCTCTTCTGAACTCCTTTCCTTCCGTGCTCGGAGGCGACTCTCAGTTGGTACGACGGCTACGGGGGTGCCCGAAGAGGATGATGTGCTTCAGGAGCTTGATGAGTCTGACGAGGGGGAGGATATCAAAAACGTTGATGATCATTCGGACGGAGATGGTGTTGCCCAGGCCATCTGCACAGTTTATTCAAGCTTCCAGCGTGCCGACTCGTCTCAAATTCTATCCGTGGCTGTAGTCTTGCAGTCCATGTTTGCAATTTAATGTGGCTGCGATGCAATTCTTGCTCGATCAACATCAAACCATGACCTAAGTCACTTGACATTCCAGTGTGTTTCGGCTTCTCGCCTCCACTTCACCTGGACTTTTTCTACAGGGCTTGATCGACCTAGGCATCCGCGCAGCAAGGATTGCTCAATGCTGAGTCTGAGGATGATTTAGAGGCTCCCCCAATTTCGCTGTAGAATTTTCAAATCGTGGGCTCAACCTGGAAAACGACGCAGGCACCAGAAGTGCTCAAGACTGAGTCCGAGGATAATCTGGAGGCGGCGATGTTAGGCTGTTAGGCTTCGACTGGAGGGAAACGGGCCTGATGTGCATTTCTTAGCAGTGCTCAACCTAAGGGAGCAAAACTGAACACTTTTCCTTGACATTTTGCGAGTATGGACTGGGGCCTCACTGTCTCACTCGGTTCTTTTGTACTCTGCCTCTCACTTGAATTCATTTGACCTGTGCCTTGAGGAATCTGAAGGTGGACATGAAAACTTTGCCGGCAGTGACGCTGGATGGTAGGAACATGTACAAACATAATTTGAACTTTGCCTGTTCCAGCATGGCATGCTTGTGACAAATCAATATCATCATCTCAAAGAGATGAAAACACAGTAGAAAATCAATTTGTCAAATTAAGATCGGTTGTCCAGTTGTGCAATTTAGAAGCTGTGGGGTTTCAGGGATCGTTGCAAAGATCGTTTACCAAGTTGTGGAATCAGTTCCAAGTCTTTTGAGAGTTAACTCACGCACTAAAAACTGCCCATCTTTGGTAGGATTGGAGCAAGCACGACGATAAACCAGTGTTATGAGAGCGTGACAATTGTTGTTGGTCATGCTCGATTTTTGCACCATCCGCTGCAAGGGGGTTGTGATTTTACCTACTCTGCTTGAAAAAAAAACGCGACACGATTACACGATGTGTCTGCTTCTGGCTGGCAGCCACTGATTGCCTGATTGCCTTGGTAACTTTGCACATGTACAGCGCCAGCATCAGCTAGCATGAGCACCGTTAGCATCCGTTAGCGCTATCCAAGATGCAAAGTTGTGCTCTGGGAGGCTAAGGGAATCCACTTTGCACAGCCCCGCAGCTTTGAGGCTGATATCAGCTGAGGAGTTCTATCTCGACTTGTTTTCTCGTGCCTTCTCTCCCATCGGTCCAACTTCAAACGATGCCACCGAAAGGGATGAGCTGGGTGGATCTGGTGAGAAAAACGGATCCAGCTAGGGCAACGGTGGAGCCAAAGGTGATGCAAAAGGCAGATCCACAGAAAGTCCGCCTTCAACTCCCGAAATGGGACCAGACAAAACAACGGCCCCGAGTGCAAGCAACGATCTCCAGTTTTCACGTGGGAGTGTTGGCTCAAGCGGTGCTGGTAGTTCTGAAACAGCACTGCACAGGCCAGAGACCGAGCCTGCAGATGAATCCAAGGGAAAGGATTCAGCACTCAGAGGACCTGCGCGCTGGAAAGAACCTGGTCACAGAAAGGGAAACAAAGGCACATCAAAAGGATCAAAAGGGAAGCAGCCCACAAATCCTCGCGAAGTCCGGGTGCCCAAGACCTCAGGAAAAGGAAGCCCCCCTTCTAGTCCAGAGCCACAAGAAAGGGAGGAAGCCTGCGCACAAGAACCCGAGCCTGTGCATGCACATCAAAGTGCTGGAGCAAAGGAGTCGCAGCCTTCCAGCAAGGCTTCAACTCCGAGGGAGGAGTCGGCACATCCCAGTGGTTCCAGTGCGAGAAGCTCGGAACGCCCGAAGAAGCAAGAGCCGGAGCCCGCAGAGCCGGCAGAGCATGCAGAAGCGGCAGATGATTCCAAGACAAAGACAGTCCCGACGGGCTGGGCGAAATTATTTGGAGGACCCAGTGCAGCAGACCCGGCTCCGAGAAAGGGAAACAAGGGCACAGCAAAAGGATCAAAAGGGAAGCAGCCCACAAATCCTTGCGAAGTCCAGGTGCCCAAGACCTCAGGAAAAGGAAGCCCCCCTTCTAGTCCAGAGCCACAAGAAAGGGAGGAAGCCTGCGCACAAGAAACCGAGCCTGCGAATGCCCACCTAAGTGCTGGAGCGGAGGAGTCGCAGCCTTCCAGCAAGGCTTCAACTCCGAGGGAGGAGTCGGCACATCCCAGTGGTTCCAGTGCGAGAAGCTCGGAACACCCGAAGAAGCAAGAGCCGGAGCCCGCAGAGCCGGCAGAGCGTGCAGAAGCGGCAGATGATTCCAAGACAAAGACAGTCCTGACGGGCTGGGCGAAATTATTTGGAGGACCCAGTGCAGCAGACCCGGCTCCCAGAAAGGGAAACAAGGGCACAGCAAAAGGATCAAAAGGGAAGCAAACACAAATCCTTGCGAAGTCCAGGTGCCCAAGACCTCAGGAAAAGGAAGCCCCCCTTCTAGTCCAGAGCCACAAGAAAGGGAGGAAGCCTGCGCACAAGAACCCGAGCCTGTGCATACACATCATTGATGTGCATTTGCACAGGCTCGGGTTCTTGTGCTGCGAAGCCAAAGGAGTCGCGCCTGCCAGCAAGGCATTCAAATCGAGGGAGAGTCGGCCATCCCAGGGTTCCAAGTGCGAGAAGCTTCGGAACGCCCGAAGAAGAAGAAAAGAGCAAAAGAGCCGGAAGGCCCGCAGAGGCCGGCAGAGCGTGCAGAAGAAAGCGGCAGATGATTCCAAGACAAAGGACCAGTCCTGACGGGCTGGTGCGACAAATTATTTGGAGGACCCAGTGCCAGAGACCCGGCTCCCGGCTCCCAGAAAGGGAGGAAAACAAGGCACAGCAAAAGGATCAAAAGGGAAGCAAAACACACATCCTTGCGGAAGTCCGGGTGCCCAAGACCTATGGAAAAAAGGAAGCCCCCTTTCTAGTCCAGAGCCACAAGAAAGGGGAGAGGAAGCCTGCGCACAAAAACCGAGCCTTGACGAATCCCCACCTCCTAAGTGCTGGAGCGGAGGAGTCGCAGCCTTCCAGCAAGGCTTTCAACTCCGAGGGATGGAGAGTCGGCGGCAATTGCCCAGTGGGTTCCAGTTCGAGAAAGCTCGGGATACGCCCGAACGAAGATCGGAAAGGAAGCAAGAGGCCGGCAGCCCGCAGAGCCAGCAGAGCCGGCAGAGGCGGCAGAGGCGGCAGATGAATCCAAGGGAAAGACAATACTGACGGGCTGGGCAAAATTATTTGGAGGACCCAGTGCAGCAGGCCCGGCTCCCAGAAAGGGAAACAAGGGCACATCAAAAGGATCAAAAGGGAAGCAGCCCACAAATCCTCGCGAAGTCCGGGTGCCCAAGACCTCAGGAAAAGGAAGCCCCCCTTCTAGTCCAGAGCCACAAGAAAGGGAGGAAGCCTGCGCACAAGAACCCGAGCCTGCGAATGCCCACCAAAGTGCTGGAGCGGAGGAGTCGCAGCCTTCCAGCAAGGCTTCAACTCCGAGGGAGGAGTCGGCGCATCCCAGTGGTTCCTGCAGTGCGAGGAGCTCAGAACTGGAGAAGCAAGAGCTGGAGCCCGCAGAGCCAGTCGAGCCAGCAGAGCGCGCATAGCCAGAAGCGCCAGCAGATGAATCCAGGGAAAGACAGTACTTACTGTCAGTACTGACTGTCAGTACTGTCTTTGCCTTGGATTCATCTGCCGGCGTTGCTAGCTCTGCACGCTCCCAAAAAGGGAAACAAAGGCACACCAAAAGGAACCGGCCAAGAAGCCCGGGTGAAGGGGGCAGGAAAAGGAGGGCTTCCTTCAACTTTGGAGCCAGCGCCAAAGATCACGGAGGCAGCCAGTGCTTTGGCGGGGAAGCAGGAAACATTGGAGTCCCAGCCTTCCAGCAAGGCTGCGACTCAAAGGGACGATTCACCGCATGTCAGCGCTGAGTCCAGCAGTGCGAGTAGTTCTGGACCGCCAGAGCCAGCGAAGGAAGGACCTCGAGCAGCAAATCAGGCTTCAAACCAAGCGGTGAACGGAAGCCAGCCTGCAATTCCATTTGAGGATGGAACTGATTACGCGGTTCCGCTGACAAAAGCTGGAAGCGCTGAGAGGTTTGAAGATGGATCTCAGATCAGATCCACCTTCAAAACTCTCAGCGCTTCCAGCTTTTGTCAGCGCTTCCTGAAGATGGATCTGAGGATTCCATCGAGCGGCTAGAGTTGGACACGTTCGACTATCGAACGTACTACAAAATAGGTTCGATAGTCGAACGTGTCCAACTCTAGCCGTTACTACATGAATGATCTTCGAAATCGAGATTTGGACACAGAGCCAACAATTTACGGTTCTGATTCGGAATCCTCTGATGAGGGTTTCTAATGGTTTCTAGTCTGGTCCAGAGAAGTTCGTACTGTGCAGTACCACAGACATGCTCAGAGTTTCACCTAGCGCGTGCAAAAAAGAACACAGCTGAGAAGTGAAAAGAATGAGTTTACATGAGTTTACAACAGTTTAGAGTCAGCAAAGATACAGATCACAGACTGAGCAAAGACTAGCAAAGAAGCATTTCTCAGCTTTTCAGACACAATTCAATCGAGGTCTAGGTCTTGGACAGGAGTCCTGAATATGGCTCAAAAAGAAACGATAAGATGAAAGAAACATCAGCATCAGCACCACCACCACCACCACCACCATCACCACCATCATCATCATCATCATCATCATCATGTTCATCTTGATGTCCGTCTTCATTTTCATCTTTAGATAGCAAGTGCAAGCTGCCAAATCCATGAACGCTGTGATAGCACTGTTGCAACCTTAGCAATTCCAACAATGGTTCGAGGAATGCCATTGTTTTGATATGTTTTGATTGTTTTAAGGGAAATGCCAAGAAGGGGAGGGGATAAATACTGCCTTGAAAGTTCTCTAGCAAGAGTTGAGCGCTCAGTTTTGTTTGAATTAATACGTGAAAGTTTGTTGATCCCTGTGCAGTCATTCTGCCTCCAGGATTTGCTTGGGACTGAACCCAAACCCTAAACATGAGACCTGGAGGAAACGATTGTGACACAGTGTTTAATCTTGAAAACGGTCCCTACTTTTGAGCCCCGAGATTATGCTTTCTGAAAAGATTTTCTAAATCAGTGAAGACGAACAAACATGAGACCTGGAGGAAACGATTGTGACACAGTGTTTTGAAAACGGTCCCTACTTTTGAGCCCCGAGATTATGCTTTCTGAAAAGCATGTGCTAAATCAGTGAAGACGAACAAACATGAGACCTGGAGAAACCGATTGTGACACAGTGTTTAATTTTGAAAACAGTCCTTACTTTGCAGTAATTACTTTGCAGAGCGAGATTTGCGGTTTATGAGGAGATGGAGCACCTCGAGCAGTTCTTGTGGTGCAGGAGATTCAGTTGCTATTGTGGGTTTCCCATTGTTTTGTAAGAACCTCATCGCTGATTAATATTCTGTATAGTTATTCTATCGTATTCTCGTTTTTGATTAAGGACTGTGTGCTCAGTCGAAGATTGTGCAAGTGAGAAAGAACCTGGCGCACTTTTCCCCAGATTATGCAGATGATTCCAGTGGCGATATTCCTGAACTCATCACCGTCGCAAATTGACCGAAGAGCCAGGATCATTGACACATAGACGTTGATGAGCAGTGCGGTTGGGTAAAAAAGGATAGCCTCAAGTGCAACATGTGGTAGAAGTGCAAAGAACATGACCGGAGAAACTTACACAATCACCAGTCAAAACCAACATCTGAAATTTCATCTTATTTTGTCAACTTGTGTTTCATTACTGGGGAGGAAGTAGAGCTGTGCACAGGTGCGTGAATTTTAAAATCCATAGACACATGGGATCTCCATTGCTCACATTCTGGAAACATACGTTTGTACGATTTGTACGGGCAATAGGTTCGACGTATTGGGAGATCTTTCCCCGAACCTGCCAACACGTAAGATATCGCAAGATTGAACAATGAAGTGAAACGAAAAATCGCAAAGCAGTCATGATCCATGCTCTGCAGCGAGCTCTTGGCGCTTGAAACCGGATTTCACAGCTACAGCTACAACATCCAACTTTTCAAAACACAATGCTTTTTTCATCCTGCAAATCACAGCATACGCTGACTAGTGACTCGTGGTGTGAGGTGGTTGCAAGACATAGCCAAAACCGGCCGGCTTTTCCTTTCCACTGATTGGGCTGCTTCGCATCTTTTGCTAAAAGAGCCCGATATCAACGTGTGAAGGGTTACAGCCATTCGTCACGATGTCGATGGCGCACGAGTGGCGCCCATGCACATGGCAGGTAAATGCTGAGCTGGAAGCATGGATGCTTCTTGGCCGAGTATTTGATATGGTCTGTTCAATTGATGTCAACATCAATCTATTTCTCTCCGTTTTGCCTGCTGTTCTTGTCTGTTTTGAGGCATTTGCAGCCGGCTGTCCAACTTTTGTTTGTCTCACAGCTGGCACGGCAGCTTGCTAAGCAGCTGGATTGCGAAAGGGGCCAGTGTGCCTCTGTCAGACTCCCAGCTTGAGAAGCTTCCTGTCCCAGAGAAGTTGAAGTCTTTGTGTTTCTCATTTTCCCTGTTGAGAATGCAAGGTGTTCAATGGCTGGAGCAATATTTGAAAAAGCATGGAACTCAGGAAATTCTGGAATTTTCAGATGGTATCTTAATGTATCTTACATCCTTTGATATCCGTGTCAAATCAATGATTTAATGACTTCATTTGTGGCCCTTTGCGGCCAAATGTGGGCGAGATTGATAACAGTACAGTAAAAGGACGTAAAAGGGATATGACTTTCCGAAATTGCTCGACATTTTGACACCAGCCCCCCCCACCTCTGTCGACGCCATCACCTGAGCCTGCTGCGGGATCCTTCCCAATCAGGACCTTTTGCAAGTGGCTTCCACAGAGGAGACTGACTCCAAGGATGCAGCAGAGGTGCCGAGATGGGCTGTTAGGCGAGTCAAGAGAAGATCAACAACCATTTGACAACGATGTTCATGTCAGAGAGAATGCAACGGGTTGGAATCAATCGAAGGACACCACAACATCACCACAACGCTTCGTTGTGGCCAGTTGCCGCTTTCGCTGTAGCTGTAGAATGTTCAAATCGCGTACTCTTCCTGGAAACGGCACAGGTACAGGGGCCGTTACTGATGACAGACTCCGAGGATGATTCAGAGGTGCCGACATCGGGCTGTCAACCTTCTTTTGACAATGATGTTCATGATTCATGATGTTCATGTCGGAGAGAAGGTTGCAGTGAAACAGTGAAACAATAGATCGAAATGTGAAGCAAGATGAACGGAGTACAACATGCAGGCTCATATAACTCATATAGGCTAATAGGTGTTTGTTCCCCTTTTGCGCTTTCGCCTCAGCAGTACCTTCTTTTGACAACGATCCTCATGTCGGTGTAAAAGCGACATTGTGGAAAAGGTTGCTCTGTGTAAAGGCGTCTGTATGTAAAAGGGATATCGGATATGACTTTCCGAAATTGCTCGACATTTTGACACCAGCCCCCCTCCACCTCTGTCGACGCCATCACCTGAGCCTGCTGCGGGATCCTTCCCAATCAGGACCATTTGCAAGTGGCTTCCACAGAGGAGGAGTCCGAGAAGGACACGAGGCTTTGGGCCGGTCAAGATCCAAACTGACCCTTCGTGACCATTTCATTGTGAGAAAAAATCCAACTACCGACTTTCAGTCAAGGGCATACTGCGAAGACATGCTAAGACGATCTATGACATAATTGTGAATCAAGCTGCTGGCTCGTGCAGCGTAACTACAGCGTCTCTTCTGAACTCCTTTCCTTCCGTGCTCGGAGGCGACTCTCACTTGGTACGACGGCTACGGGGGTGCCCGAAGAGGATGATGTGCTTCAAGAGCTTGATGAGTCTGACGAGGGGGAGGATATCAATAACGTTGATGATCATTCGGACGGAGATGGTGTTGCCCAGGCCATCTGCACAGTTTATTCAAGCTTCCAGCGTGCCGACTCGTCTCAAATTCTATCCGTGGCTGTAGTCTTGCAGTCCATGTTTGCAATTTAATGTGGCTGCGATGCAATTCTTGCTCGATCAACATCAAACCATGACCTAAGTCACTTGACATTCCAGTGTGTTTCGGCTTCTCGCCTCCACTTCACCTGGACTTTTTCTACAGGGCTTGATCGACCTAGGCATCCGCACAGCAAGGATTGCTCAATGCTGAGTCTGAGGATGATTTAGAGGCTCCCCCAATTTCGCTGTAGAATTTTCAAATCGTGGGTTCAACCTGGAAAACGACGCAGGCACCAGAAGTGCTCAAGACTGAGTCCGAGGATAATCTGGAGGCGGCGATGTTAGGCTGTTAGGCTCGAGGAAGATTAGATGCACGATGAAAGGTCTCTAATCATCAAGGCAATCATGTCAGGTGCATAGCTACAATGTAGATCAAAAGCCTAATTGAAATGAAAGGGTACATGTATAGCCTCTTTGTTGAGCCGCAAAGCATTTGCGGCCTTTCGCAGTCTGATGCAGCTATACTTTAGTATTGGTGTTGTAAGAAAACTAGACGACTATGTCAGGCTTTTCCATACATTGCAAGAGTTCCACAAGGCACTAGCTATCACTGTACCATATCATATAAATTATATACAGTAAAGACCCGTCTTCTTACAGATGGCTTCCAATCAATCGTCGGATTTGGAAGGGAACTGCACATGTTGCACGTGTGACGAAACTCATGTGGGAGAGGTTAGGTTTGAGGTACAGCAGTGGAAAGCACCAGAGTTGATGTTCCGAGTCAAGTGGATGAGCTATCAAGGAGCCAGAGGGTTTGGTTGGGCTAGGCGGCGAAGCCGCAGATATCCGGTGAAAGCAGTGATTCAGACGGCGAGTCCGAGGTGCTCAAACGGGGGCAGATCCAAGAGAAAGGAGGGTGACACCCTGGGTGTAAGCGAGAATTTTATTTCATGTTGTTTCAGGAAATGGAATGAAAGATGTTTCGAATTTAGATAAAGGTACTCCCATGCATACTGAATTGAAATTGAAGTCATGTCAGACAATCTAAATGTGAAGCTGGACAAGGGATACGGCTTTGGGACTTGGAAATGGGTGCAGCAATGGACCTCACCAAGTAAAAAAAAACACCATGTCCTTTGTTCTCAAACAAAATGGCTTTGACAATTCTTTACACCAAAGCACTGCTTGGCGCGAGCTGCTGCTAGCTCCCCTGTTTTGCGTGGGACGACTTTGTCCTGACGGTGCCTTGGCCAGGTCGATGAGGAAGCGGAGTTGAGGCGGGTCTGTTAGCCTTTAGACACAGCTGAGTCTACTTGATGCCCGGACAAGTGAGCCGCAGCGAGCCTTGGCACCAGGTTTGAAGAGGAATCAAATTCCAAGAATGAGACGAATGAGGCCACTCAATTGGAGCCTTAGTGGTGGGTGGCTATCAAGCACTTTTGACCCCTCCAATATCTTTTTCTCACATGAAATCGCCTCGCTACAGTATCTTGTCCCTCTTTCCGAGTACGTCATCTCAGCACTCTGAACTTCGGGATCCGTTGCAGCGTTGATATGTGACAGAGGAGGATGTTTCGAATTGTGCTTCATGCACTGGGGCAGATCAATCAGATTGCAAGTGGAGTCTTGGCCACACGTTGTGAAAATGGGTCTCTTTGTGATCGGAGTTTTTTAAAGTGTTTTTTCCAATTCAACTTGATGGAATTTTCTTTGACCTTTCTGACACGATCTCGGCAATTGTTTCTTGCTAAGGGCTTGCGAAGTTGCAACAAGCTTGCAAACAAGCGAGGGTTCCGATGCTGTCAATGGAGCCGTTCGGCTGGAAGTATATGCTCAGTGGATGGCTGGTTATTCTGGGCGGCCGGTTAACCTTTCAACCCAAAGACAAAGAACTGTGGGAGCCTTGAAGCTTCTTTTTTTTGGTGGCGTTTGATTGATGACCTCATGAATGTAGTGCAGGTGTTAGAAGCCTTCTTTGACTTTCAGGATTTAAAACAGTCATGTTGGTGACATGCTTCCGTCTGAAATGATACATACGACTTTGAACGTTGACGAGGTTGTTCAAATCGGTGCAGCTGAGCCATGCTCTCCTCAGACTCTCGTCTGCATTTGAAGTGGATTTCCTTTCGCTCCAAGGCATCATGCAATCGAAACATCTTTGGATTGTCTCTGAATTCGTGGGTTTGCTTTGTGTGTGCATCAAGACTAGGGCGCGTCATGGTCTGCGCTTTGATCGAGAAACGACATGGTATGAATCCTTGGCGACTGCAGGAGCGAATCCTTGGAGGCCAATTTCCTCCCCGAGCTACTCGGCAGAACAAAGACAGATTGAAACTGATCCCATTCATGGGCAACAGCTTGCTGCGGTGCTGAGGATATGTCTTCACGTGCTGGGTTTTCTTCCTGTGCCTCAACTTTTGAAAGGGTACATACGAGATGTGCAGAAATAAACGAGTTTCAGGCAGAAACTACGGAGTTTGATTTGATCATTGTTGTTACAGTTACAGCTGTTGTCATTATATCATTAAGGCCATTTCATTGCAATCAGGGTAGATTTCATTGCAATCAGGTTTGAAACCTGGGCAACCATAGTTGGGGCACTTAATTATCACTGCACAGCCAAAGGTGTCACATTTTTTCCATCTTGCTCGCACCTGTTGCCATGTTTGTTCATACCGCCTCCAGCTGGGCTGTGGCCCTGATTGGCCCCCAAAGCAAAACGATTGAATGGTTATTTTAAAGTTAGTGACTTTTGAGTGATTGGGTTTCAACACCAGGTCATTGCCATTCTATGCCCAGTGAAGATCACCCAATCATTGTAGGTGATGCTAGACGCATGCTCTTTCAAAGCAGTCGCACCACCCCACCCTCCGGCATCTCGATGTCAGTGGCCGGAAAATACAACGGCTTACCTTAGGTTCTCATGTCATGCTGGGTGGAAAATTCAAATCCTTTTTTTTTGAAGGTGCATATATCATGAGGCATGATGCATGCCCCCAAAACTCAAAACAGTTCAAGTTTAGCCAACACCAGCTAGTGTCGACAAGCGTCGCGGGGAAATCTCCTTAGCGTGCCAGCCAGCCAGCCAGGGTCTCAGCCTTTAATCAGGGACCAGGGACATGTGTAACCTATGTCAAGTATGGTACGATGATGATGCCAAGGGGCATTGCTGGGCTTGTCGTACATGATTCGCCAAACTTTCACAAGCAGTCGGCTCGCATCCAATTCCTTGGGCCAAGTGTTTGTGATTACATAATGGTACCCAATGGTCTTGAGAAAATCTTGGTGCTATCTTTCTGATTTTTTGGTGGGGTGTAAACAGGAGCTAAGTGTCTTCACCAGTGAAAGCCGAAGCAATGTTGGTGTACTTGTAGTTCCCACCAGCTACTGCAGAGTATTGGAAATAGATTGGTGTGGCCTTTGGTTTGATCAAGTAGCGCTGCGAACCAGTCTGACCTAGGTACCATTGATATGGAGCGGGGATCGGAAATATCAAAAAATGGTTGGTGCATACATTTGAATTTCCATTACGATGGGGGAACTTAGTTGGATACCTGCATCATCCATGACTGGAGCGTGCAGCTCGTGCAAATTGATGGTTGGATCTGTCACCTTGTTTTCCTCCATCTCGGCCAGCAACTCTGCCCAAGTGCACCTCTCGCTGTCCGAGGTCGACTTGGAATTCTCATCGTCAGGAACCTCCAGGACGACGCTCTGGTTTTCACTGGTCCACTGGCAGGTCATCACTCGGGAGACTTCATCTGGCATGATGGCAGCCAAGGAATGAGAGATAAAATTGGGATGTGTATTACTGTGTTTTGAGTATGGGTGAAAAAGAAGATATTGGGACCCAGAATTTGATCCAAGACCGGTAAATCATTATTTTTTGGTGGTGTTAGCTCAACAATTCTGAACCATACCCATATCATTATAAAAGTTTAGTGGATACCAAATACCCAGACCACATAATTTGGTATATTCCCCTTGTAAACCACCAGGTGCTGATGAAACTTGCCAATCAAATATGTATCAAGCACCGATGAACATGCCAAGAAAATCATCCTGGCACACATGTATTTTTCCCAAGATCGCGGTTTGTCCATGGAGCACAAGACACCTTTCCCCTGATGTCGTGCAAAGCTAGTCTCAAAAGCCATCTGGATATGTCTAAATCCAGTTTCAGCATAGTATGGATTGGCCAAGCTGTTTCTTGGCAAGTTCTTAACCAAAATAAGATCAAAATGATCCATTCGGTCCCTCAACATCCTATAGATTGGAGCTGTTCACTCATCCGACTCATTGTCATGGCCATCTTCGCGGCCATCTGCGGAGGAGAGATCATCAGCTTCTGGGGCACCAGCATCCTCCTGCTCTTCCTGGTCAGGACTGGAGGGCTGGGATTCGGCATCGGCATGGGGTTCGGCATCATGGGGCTCGGCATCATCGCTTTCTGCATCATGGGGTTCGGCATCATGGGGCTCGGCATCATTGCTTTCGGCATCATGGGGTTCGGCATCATCGGGCTCGGCATCATGGGGTTCTCCATGGGATCCGACAGAGGGTCGAAGGGGCTTGGTCAACCTTCGACGGCTCAGCTCGCTGTGGGTCATGTTCTTCATGGAGTTCACCCTTGTAGGATGGACTTTCCACCTGGGCCGGAATTGATCTTATTAAGAGTACAAAAAGTTTTAAAGTAAGTGTGGGAGAGAAGTTGCGAACTGAGAAAAACAGTTGTTTGTAAAATTGATGAACACTTATCACTTGGGGCTGCACTCAGCACGTGCCGCTTTCAGCACTTCGGTCTTGGTCCAGTCAGGGTGCTCCTGACTCAAACGCTGCTTAGCGCTTGTGATGTGGTTCCAGTAGTCGTCCCGCAAGCCAACTCGGCCACTGGTTCCGGACTTTGCCTCCCAAACACACATAAAGGGATTGATTCAGGCAGTTCCAGATTGAAATGCTAAGGATTCATTTGAACCCCCAAAGGTGTTAAAGGAGATATGTCAAATTTGTAAACTGATCAATGGTCAAGCTGGAGATTCTGGTTCTTGATCAAAGTTTTGGATAGTGAGTGTCACCCTGCCTTGTCTGCCCCTGTCTCTGCCTTGCGTGTGTTTCGCTTTGCTCTGGGTCGTCTGGGCTTCTTTCTGTTCCCTGCATCATCCTCATCATCCGAATCATCGCCTTTGTCATCACCTTTCTTCTTATCATCCTCCTGCTTTCTCTGGTTCTTCTTGTTCTTCAGGTATTTCTGCATCTTCGTTGATGGACGTCTGGGCTCTTCGGCGTCCTCCTCTTCCTGATCCATCTCATCTGCACTCTTCTCATCTTTGCTCTCCTTGTCCTTCTCATCGGTCTGCAAAGTCTTTGCCTTTTTCTTGTGGCTGCCCTTCTCCTCATAGACCTCCTTTCTGATCTTCTTTACTTTCTTCTCCTCAGCTTCGCCTTCGTCGGAATCTCCTTTCTTGCTGCCTTTGCTGTCTGTCTCCTTCTGAGTCTCCTTCTGCGGCTGATCTTTCTCTGGCTTGTCCTTTTCCTTCTTGTCTTTGGTCTTCTTCTTCTTTTCATCCGTCTGGTGTTTGTCAGGGTCCTGGCTACACCCAGGATCTGTGATCTCTGTCCCCTGTGAGTACGATCCATTCTCGTTGACCTCCTGGTTCATCGCATCTTCACCTGCACTCTTCTCATCTTTGCTCTCCTTGTCCTTCTCGTCGGTCTGCAAAGTCTTTGCCTTTTTCTTGTGGCTGCCCTTCTCCTCATAGACCTCCTTTCTGATCTTCTTTACTTTCTTCTCCTCAGCTTCGCCTTCGTCGGAATCTCCTTTCTGGCTGCCTTTGCTGTCTGTCTCCTTCTGCGGCTGATCTTTCTCTGGCTTGTCCTTTTCCTTCTTGTCTTTGGTCTTCTTCTTCTTTTCATCCGTCTGGTGTTTGTCAGGGTCCTGGCTACACCCAGGATCTGTGATCTCTGTCCCCTGTGAGTACGATCCATTCTCGTTGACCTCCTGGTTCATCGCATCTTCACCTGCACTCTTCTCATCTTTGCTCTCCTTGTCCTTCTCGTCGGTCTGCAAAGTCTTTGCCTTTTTCTTGTGGCTGCCCTTCTCCTCATAGACCTCCTTTCTGATCTTCTTTACTTTCTTCTCCTCAGCTTCGCCTTCGTCGGAATCTCCTTTCTTGCTGCCTTTGCTGTCTGTCTCCTTCTGCGGCTGATCTTTCTCTGGCTTGTCCTTTTCCTTCTTGTCTTTGGTCTTCTTCTTCTTTTCATCCGTCTGGTGTTTGTCAGGGTCCTGGCTACACCCAGGATCTGTGATCTCTGTCCCCTGAGTACGATCCATTCTCGTTGACCTCCTGGTTCATCGCATCTTCACCTGCACTCTTCTCATCTTTGCTCTCCTTGTCCTTCTCGTCGGTCTGCAAAGTCTTTGCCTTTTTCTTGTGGCTGCCCTTCTCCTCATAGACCTCCTTTCTGATCTTCTTTACTTTCTTCTCCTCAGCTTCGCCTTCGTCGGAATCTCCTTTCTTGCTGCCTTTGCTGTCTGTCTCCTTCTGCGGCTGATCTTTCTCTGGCTTGTCCTTTTCCTTCTTGTCTTTGGTCTTCTTCTTCTTTTCATCCGTCTGGTGTTTGTCAGGGTCCTGGCTACACCCAGGATCTGTGATCTCTGTCCCCTGTGAGTACGATCCATTCTCGTTGACCTCCTGGTTCATCGCATCTTCACCTGCACTCTTCTCATCTTTGCTCTCCTTGTCCTTCTCGTCGGTCTGCAAAAGTCTTTGCCTTTTTCTTGTGGCTGCCCTTCTCCTCATAGACCTCCTTTCTGATCTTCTTTACTTTCTTCTCCTCAGCTTCGCCTTCGTCGGAATCTCCTTTCTTGCTGCCTTTGCTGTCTGTCTCCTTCTGCGGCTGATCTTTCTCTGGCTGGTCCTTTTCCTTCTTGTCTTTGGTCTTCTTCTTCTTTTCATCCGTCTGGTGTTTGTTCAGGGTCCTGGCTACACCCAGGATCTGTGATCTCTGTCCCCTGTGAGTACGATCCATTCTCGTTTACCCTCCTGGTTCATCGCATCTTCACCTGCACTCTTTCTCATCTTTGCTCTCCTTGTCCTTCTCGTCGGTCTGCAAAGTCTTTGCCTTTTTCTTGTGGCTGCCCTTCTCCTCATAGACCTCCTTTCTGATCTTCTTTACTTTCTTCTCCTCAGCTTCGCCTTCGTCGGAATCTCCTTTCTTGCTGCCTTTGCTGTCTGTCTCCTTCTGCGGCTGATCTTTCTCTGGCTTGTCCTTTTCCTTCTTGTCTTTGGTCTTCTTCTTTTCATCCGTCTGGTGTTTGTCAGGGTCCTGGCTACACCCAGGATCTGTGATCTCTGTCCCCTGTGAGTACGATCCATTCTCGTTGACCTCCTGGTTCATCGCATCTTCACCTGCACTCTTCTCATCTTTGCTCTCCTTGTCCTTCTCGTCGGTCTGCAAAGTCTTTGCCTTTTTCTTGTGGCTGCCCTTCTCCTCATAGACCTCCTTTCTGATCTTCTTTACTTTCTTCTCCTCAGCTTCGCCTTCGTCGGAATCTCCTTTCTTGCTGCCTTTGCTGTCTGTCTCCTTCTGCGGCTGATCTTTCTCTGGCTTGTCCTTTTCCTTCTTGTCTTTGGTCTTCTTCTTTTCATCCGTCTGGTGTTTGTCAGGGTCCTGGCTACACCCAGGATCTGTGATCTCTGTCCCCTGTGAGTACGATCCATTCTCGTTGACTTCCTGGTTCATCGCATCTTCACCTGCACTCTTCTCATCTTTGCTCTCCTTGTCCTTCTCGTCGGTCTGCAAAGTCTTTGCCTTTTTCTTGTGGCTGCCCTTCTCCTCATAGACCTCCTTTCTGACCTTCTTGACTTTCTTCTCCTCAGCTTCGCCTTCGTCGGAATCTCCTTTCTTTCTGCCTGTCTTCTTCTCCGGCTGATCTTTCTCTGGCTTCTCCTTTTCCGCACGGATCTTCTTAGTCTTTCCAGCATCAAACTTTGTAGAGTTCTTCTCATCAACCTGGTCATCCTTCTCGTTCTCCTGGGTCTTTTCCTTTGCTGCTCTCCTGTTTTTCTCGCCCTTCTCATCGGCTTTCTCTCCTTCCTCCTTGGGGTTCTTCTTTGTGGGCTTTGCTAGCTCTTCTGCATTTGTCTGGTTCTTGTCGCCCTTCTTGATCTTCACCTCCTTCTCAGTCTTACCCTTTGCCTTTGTGGTGCTACTGGTGTCACAAGCCCCTGCTGACCCCAAGGCCTTAGCAACTGCGATCTTTCGCTTTTCTTCTGCGGAAAGTTCTGCAGTTTCACTTTTCTTGGTTTGCTTCGTCGTTTTCTTTGCCTTTGGCTTTTTGGTCTTTTGGGTGTTCTTCTCAGGAGATTCTGGCTTTTCGGTTCTGTTGCCCTTCGCTGGAGGCTGGTCCTGGAGTGGAAGGGATGGCATGTGAGACGTGAAACTGGCAGGGAGAGTATACAATGGCTCATTTGAAATCTTTTTGATAGTCATACTTTTGCTCTCCAAAATCTTGAACGGAGATCCAAGTCGGTTTCCCTTAGAAACTGGTGGAAACAAGTGGAACATTTCTCATACATTACCTGAGGAAAAGTGAGGTACATGACACGCACAGGGCAGGGGGGCCTCATCATCCTCAGATTCCGCTGGCAAACCTTGGCTTGAAAGAGGCTCTTCCGAGTCCAATGTGTCGGACTCTTCTTCGGAATCATTCTTTTGACTTTTCTTTCCTGAATTGGCCTTCGCCTTAGCTTTCGCCTTCTTTGCTGCCATTTTTGGTGCTGCCTTTTCTTTGTTTTGCTTTTCCGTTTTCCTCTATGCCTTCTGCCCTGTTTTTACATCTTTGATTGCCTGCGCGAGTTCTTCCATTTTCTCCTTTGACATTGGAGGGTCAGTGCTGCGAGTGCAAGAGCTGACTGTCATGGGCACAGTCGGTTTCTCTGTCTTTGGTTCAGCTGGTGTTTCAGCAGGCACATCTTTGGGTTTTTCTCCGGTAGCTACCCGAACTGCTTCTTCTGACCCCCCAACTGCTGACCCAAAGTCCAATTTGATCCTTAAGGGATCTTTGGAAGCGGAACTGGCCCCAACATCTTGAGCTGGAACACGTGACTTTCTTGGTTCTTTCTCACGTGACAGCTTTTCTGCCTATCAAACCAGCAGAAATGTCAGTAAAAAAAATACACGCTGACTGACAGCTAAAATTGGTAGTTACATAATTTAGCAAGCTATGTTTGGAGAACACGCCGCCAGGCCTGGGCAGCTTGGGCAGACTGCTGTGAATCTGCTGGAGGCAGCCCATTCGATCCCTTGGAGTGGCTTGTCCAAGGAGTGGAGCGGGCGGACGTATTGCAAATAGATGACGTAGGGTCAACCCATTAGTAACCCACCCCAAGCAAAAGAAAATTGGAGGCTTATGTATTTCCAATCAGCCCAGATAAGCTAGTATGCTACATGTGGGGGTGGTTTATGTTTAGGCTTCCCACAGCTGGCTGTGACATAATATTGAAAAACACGATCTGGGATCCCTACACACTGTCGCATTGGAGTCGTCAATGCCCCAGGGCTTTCGTGAGCTACCCTGCTAAGATCCTCACGCCAAGAAGCTTTTGTCTGACAATAAGGGTTAGGTGGGAAATAAATTGACATTTGAATCATTTCTTTTTTTAGAAGTATCGGTCCTGGTCAAAGCCATGGGCAGCTAGTAAGGATTGTAAAGCGCCAGAACTCATGGTGGCCACCACAAGTCGCCCTTCCTATGGCCCTACAATCCCAAAGTTGTGGGACTTCTTTAAGTTTAGCAAGCCAGAGCCGAGATTTCAGCAATACACACGATGTTGTTGTTTCAATGTTTTCACCTAGCCATGTTGCAAAATGCAGCAGGACAATTCTGGAAATAGTGAATTCCCCGTTAATGGTGGGAATCCCTGAATACTGAAACAAGCCAGAAGTACCGTTTTTGTCTTGTCTCTTCAAGGCTGCGACTCGCTCGGGCTTGAGGGACTTTGAAGAACCATGTGCCACAACAAATTCCATCTTCGAAAAGACCGCCGCCATGTGCGATACCTTGTTATAGTGGAAAAACAGCCCCTTTATCAGTAGTTATAGTGGACGAACAGCCCTTTAATCATCCCATTATATATTAATTATCATATTTTTATCAACACTGATATGAAAACATTTTATGGGGCGAGCATCCAAAGGAATGATATACCAGCCTTGTTGCCACAAAAAGTTTGTACTTCTGACCCTGAATGATTTGATGGGAGCTTCCATCACGGGCTTTGCTCTGGACCAGGAACATGGTACTCCCATGATTCCTCCCCGGGAATTTGGCCTCAACGATGTACTTGTCCATCAATTCTTCAAGAGTTTCAGGTTCATTGGTCCAAGGTTCAATGACCTTGGTTGCATCTTCCTCCTCCTTTTTAACCAGGGCAAGGGCAGCCGTGGCATCAGCATTGGACTTTGGACTGTACCTTAGAAGGTGCAGGTAAAAATAAGGTGATATATTATATGTACATAATTGTATATATATAATATGTGTAAAACATATACCAGTAGTATATAATCGTAAAGATGAAATTGAGATGCCACATTTTTGGGGGAAATACAGGGGGCGGGCCCCATGTAAGAAAATAACCCGAGTAAGAACAAGGGATAAGGAAATCCAGAACCCAATGTTGGAAACACGTCTCTCGTCCCATTGGACTGATGATCACAAAATTGGTTGAATTTTTAAAAGATAACACACAAGGAAATGAATGATTCAGTCAAATGGCTTTTGATCAAAATCCTTCAAGATGTTTGACCAATCCTCCCCAAATACTTGGTCATCGATGTATCGAGCCCGCACTCCTGGGGGAATGCTGATCCGAAACTTGTTCCACCCTTTCAATGAAGGATTTGGATCATAATCAAGCTTGATCAGCTTCAAAGGATATTGGTTTGGGTCCACATCCGTGGCTGACGATGCCGGTGGCTTGGGCTCGTATGCACGCACCTGCCCAAGGTGCTTGTGATTGCCTCGCTTCCACTCCTGGCGGTATAGGACTGGTGATTGGGCCTGGAGGGATTTCCAACAAACAAACATGGGATGGGTGCTAGCCTGTTTGCTGCTTGGACCGTGTAACGATACATGACGGTGACGAAAACAAATTTATTATTACAAAACCCTTTCCCTATGAAGATAACTAAGAGTCCTCCAACAACTCACAGGCCAATGTCTTTTCCACATACTCAGCGGTAGAGATGGTCTTGGACATGGACAGGGTCTTGAACTTGATGGGAATGGTGGTTTGATCAGAGAATCTTTTGCATGCGCGTTCCACCCAACTGTCATAGGCTGTCAAATTGATCAGGACACAGGTGTCTGTCTGTTTGGGAACCTCCGTCCGCCCCAACAATGCCGAAAGTAGGCCACACGGGAGAGCCTCACCCGCCAGGAATTGTGCACATTCCTGGACATCCGACAAAGACCTGTCAGCAGTGTGGCAGCCGAGGGGACTCATGTTCATGCTCATGATCATCATCATCATCATCATCATCACCATCACCACCATCATCATCATCATCATCATCATCCTCATCATCATCATCATCATCGTCATTGTCGTCATCATCATCATCATCGTCATCGTCATCGTCATCATCATCATCATCATCATCATCATCATCATCATCATCATCATCATCACCATCGTCATCCTCATCGTCATCGTCATCACCATGATCATCATGATCGCAATCATCATCAATCGTCATCATCATCATCATCATCATCATCATCGTCATCATCAGCATCATGAACATTGATCGTCATCATCGCTATCATCACTATCACAGGTATCATGACCACTGTCATAATCACAACCATAGTCTACACCATCCTCATCATCATCATCATCATTTTCTTCATCATCATCATCACCATCATTTTCATCATCATCAAAATATTCATCCTCACCACCATCATCTACATCAGTGTCACCACCATCACCATCTTCATCTACATCACCATCACCACCATAGCCATCATCACGATCATCCATCACAATCATGATGATCAATATCATCATCACCATCATCACCACCATCATCCTCATAATCATGGTCGCATCAGAACCACCTTCAGAACCTGTATCGAACCCATGATGGAACCAAACCCTAGTTCATATCATGCGTGCAACATATAGAATATTCTGTTGTGATGCCGTTTCAAACATATAGTTCAATCAGCTGGGTATTATATCGCGAAGAAATGGAAAATATATATGTTCCCATCTATTCACTTTGATCATAAATCACGATCACATCAGATTAATCAACATCAAGACCACAACCACCAAGATTGGATAGGTACCTGATGGCCCTGTCAAAATAACACATGAACCGTTTCCGACTAATTTGTGGGCAATTTGGGTAAACACCCCCAGAGTAAAACCTGTGAGGCCCAGGTTAAGATAATTTTTTCCTGTGAGGCCCAGGTTAAGATAATTTTTTGGCGAACTAAAAGGCACCCGGTTCCAACCCTGAAGCCTCATTCCCTCGGAGGCATGGGGCAAGTTGTCTTTCTGGGCCACCGGTACAACGTATTGACCTTCCGGCGTCCAAGGAATTTCATTTCTGTTCGACCTGCCAGTGGCCGCTTCAGGACTTCAACCAGTGCTGGGCGTGTTGAACGGGAAACCATGAACTTCATTCAAATTTTAATATAGTGCCAACCAGGTAAGAGTGAACCAGATAATTTTCAATCCATCTACCCGGGCACGCTATGGCCTGTCTTGGATCAATTGGGATGGGGACCACACATTGTCTCCAGCTGTAAGATCCATCATCACAACCCACCCATCAAAATGGAGGGGAACTTTGCGTCTTCCATTCGGTGGCTGGCAGCGAATGGCGATGCTGTGCTGCTTGAATCCTCGGGCGTCCATTTTGTCCTCCCATCTCCTCGCAGGAAGTGAGATGCTGGAACTTGCAGGAGCTGGGCCGTTGACGGTGGCACATACTGACACCTTAAGGGGCCAACTATATTATGAAAATAATAGGGGAACATCAACAGGGAAAAAATAGATTCAGAACAAAATGGAAATAACCAGTAGCCTGAAATGTGCGGATACTAACATCCCAAAGGTCCTCAATTCTCCCCTGTAGCCAGCCACTTTCTCGGAGACCAAGTAAGGTGCGACCAGCACTGCCACTGACATAGGACTCTTTTTGAAGATTGAATGCATCAGGTCACAGTAGTCGTTGACTTCTTGCTGCGTCAAGCGGCCGCACTTCATCAAGTCGCACCAAACCACACAAGGGTATTGAGGAAATCGAGTCAAGAACTGCAGGGGAGAGCAACGGAGTTTCTTTTTTGGGATTGAACATCATGATAAGTCAAAAGTAGTCCAAAAGAAACTGAATAAGACATCTCAATTTTCCAA